CTTGTGGTAGTCTGGTGTCATAAGTTCTCATTATCTTCCACTCTGACTTGTGGGAGTCCGATGTCATCAGTTCACATCATCTTCCACTCTGACTTGTGAGAGTCCGATGTCATCAGTTCACATCATCGTCCACTCTGACTTGTGGGAGTCCGATGTCATAAGTTCTCATTATCTTCCACTCTGACTTGTGGGAGTCCGATGTTATCAGTTCATATCATCTTCCACTCTGAATTGTGGTAATCTGGTGTCATCAGTTCACATCATCTTCTGCTCTGACTTGTGGGAGTCTGATGTCATCACTTCTCATCATCTTCCACTTTGACTTGTGGTAGTCTGGTGTCATCAGTTCACATCATCTTCTGCACTGACTTGTGGTAATCTGGTGTCATCAGTTCACATCATCTTCTGCTCTGACTTGTGGGAGTCTGATGTCATCAGTTCACATCATCTTCCACTCTGAATTGTGGGAGTCTGATGTCGTCAGTTCACTTCATCTTCCACTCTGACTTGTGGGAGTCTAATGTCATCACTTCACATCAACTTCCACTCTGACTTGTGGGAGTCTAATGTCATCACTTCACATCAACTTCCACTCTGACTTGTGGGAGTCTAATGTCATCACTTCACATCATCTTCCACTCTGACTTGTGAGAGTCTAATGTCATCACTTCACAAATGTATCTTGAGTACAAGTACCTTTGTAACACACCTGTTGTATCGTGTACAACAGACTTGTACGTTTTACTAAAATCTTGCTACATTTTGTGTAGATAAACATTGTAAGTTTGGAATATATAGTCAACATTTCTTCAGTACAGGGTTGGTCTGATCATGTGCACATTTGCTTAATGTATGTATAAGAATGTGTTTTCTAATGGCCCAGCTCAAAATTGGAAGTATACATGTTCAGTGAGAAAAACCACATGTACGGACCAGCCGTGATACAGTACCACCTGTAGAAGTGTGTATACTAAAGTCAAATAATGTTTTCATGTGTTTTGTAGTTGATTATTACACTCAAGTTTTCTGTTCTTTCTAACATGCATATACCTTTGTATAAATAGCTAAATTTGATGTCTGAATAGTAAATATTGCAGTAGAAGCATTAATAACAGTTTTTAAGTTAAATTTTACCTTAAGAGGGGCATTAAGCCTTCAAGTAATGTGTATATGTACACACACACACATATATATACGATGGTACTAAATCATTAGGTGAAATTTGGCTAGTTTAACTGACCGGTTGTTACTAACTCGGTGATACTTGTGACACCTGTATTTACTGAAAGGTACCAAGTTGTTTATTATTCTAATAGAGAAACACTTGTAAGAAAATTTTGTGCAGATATCATCGTTTGAGTTAAAATATAGTTGTTTCTGTGGTTACACTGTACATGAAATTATTTTCTTCGGAGTTTTTATTAACTTTCCAATCACGTATTTTGAAGATAGTCAAAATCTTTCAAGTTCAGAATTTTAATGTGGAATTTTTGTTAATTCTCATTTAAAAGCTTCTCGATTTTAATATTCCTAAACTTATGTGATAAGCTGTAGAACTTGTCTTTTCAATTTAATATGATTTTTAAAAATTAATCCTGGTACTAATTTTAAAATTCTGTAATTAATTATCAAGTATTGTTTAGCAACATGGTACGGCACCAAAAAAAAAAAAGTAACGCTAAACTTAAACTGCACGCAACAAAAGAGATGTCGATACAATTAAGAGTACGTAAGATGGTTAAAAACTAATGAGAATTATTGATCGTCAGCTACTACAAAAGATTATACTTGTAAATGTAATTAAACTTTGTTGGTCGATTTTGTCTTCGAGTGATTTATACAATTGTAAGAAAGGGAAAATGGGAAGTATATTGTATAAAATTTCATTAAAGAAGAAGGAAAATCAAGTAACGAAGTTAGCACCGGAATTTAATGGAAGTGGGTTGTTTAGAAATGTTCCAAAAATAGTAGTTCTTTACTGGTTGCAGGAAAAACGAAACAATTTGTCCATTTATCTTGTGTGGATAGTTGGAGCTAAGAAACTATTTTATCTTTTTTCCCCCTGCACTCGCTTATCTTCCGTCGGTCCCCTGTGTCATTTGTCTGCTTTGTCTCAATGTTTATATTCCGTAGTTAAAGACTGGTCTCGCATTCTCAGATTTAATGTTGGGAGCTCGTAAAAAGTAAGTGTTCTTAAATGTGTGTAGAGGACTGTGTTTAAATTGGAAGGAGTGGTTGCTGTGTGTGTGTGTTCTTTAATCAAGGGTTTCCTTTTAACTTACATGTTGATAATAAAAATTGTATTGTTGTCTTTAAACCAAAAACATTGCTTTTATGTTTTGTATTTAAAATTTATTTTCTCTTGATACACGCATTGCAAGTATTTGAAGCTTGTTGTTAAAAATGTATGTTATTTGCACAAAAAGCATAGTTTTCTGTTGCTGTTTATATGCAAGTTTTTATTTGAAGTTTTATTGTTTCCTATTGATATGTATACTGTTTTATTTGAAGTTTGTTTTATGTTGATGTACATTTTGTACAAGAAACTTTCATGTGGATGTAAATATTGTTTGGTTTGAACTCTGTATTCTGTTGATATGTGTATTGTTTGGTTTGAACCCTGTCTTCTGTTGATATCTATATTGTTTGGTTTGAACCCTGTCTTCTGTTGATATCTATATTGTTTGGTTTGAACTCTGTATTCTGTTGGTATGTATATTGTTTGGTTTGAACCCTGTCTTCTGTTGGTATGTATATTGTTTGATTTGAACCCTGTCTTCTGTTGGTATGTATATTGTTTGATTTGAACCCTGTCTTCTGTTTATGTATTGTATTAGAAATTTGTTTTTTGTTTATACACATTGCTAGTTTTCTGTAAATATTTCTTTAAAGCTCAGTATCATTGTGTGTAAGTTTAAATTGTAGTTGTACATAAATTGTTATATTTGAAGGTATTTTTTTTCTGTTAACCTCTAAAGCAAGATGACTTATTTTTTATAATCATATACTGTACAGTGTTAAAAGCTTACTGAGGAGTATCTATTTAGTGTGCAAAGTTTTATGGGTGACATTTCTAGTACACAATGTTTGTTTTGCTCTAAATATCTATTGTAAAGTCTAATGAGGATTTGTGTATGGTGTGTGTGATGCTGTGGGCTTTTAAGCATAATTATTTTCACAAAACTGTATTTGTGAGGTCCAGTATTAAATTCTATATAAACTTCAGTGAAACAGATGTTATGTTGAAGTTGCATCTTAAGGCTCATTACTAGAGCATTACGTATTTGAAGATACATGTGCGTTGTTTGTACCAATCGTGTATGGTAGTAGTTTAGGTCTGTCTCCTTGCAGGGCATCTCTTGTGGAAGTATACTGAGTTAGGATATTTGTTTTACTGAGAACTCATAATTACATCCACCATTAAATTAAAGGTCGTTGGTTAGCGTATTCTAACAGCTGTAACTTGTAATGATTCAGATGTTAGAGGAATACTACACAAAATCATGTATTCGTTTGAAAGAAATTAAGTCATAATAACAATTGTAGAATTCCATAAAAATCAGAAATTTTGGTTTTGATTTTTAAAAAATGGGTGTAGATAAAAAAAAAAAAAATAGTTATACGGTAGGGCTTGAGTTGGGATGAAGAAACAGCCATCAAAAATTTAGTGGTTGATGAAAGAAAAAATGACAAAAAAAAAGCAAGGGACTTTGAAGGTAACGAAAGAACTTCAGACATCAACACATTTCTGCTCTTTTAAAAAATAAGGAATGTGTCATTAACGTGAAAAAAAAACGATGCTGACAAAATCAAAATTTATAAGTAAAAATTCCTAATGGCAAAAGATGGATTATGGTAAATAGATTGCACATGTTAGAGGGATCATAGATTTAAAGAGGGATTATAGATTTAAAGAGGGATTATAGACTTAAAGAAAGATTATAGACTTAAAGAGGGATTATAGACTTAAAGAGGGATTATAGACTTAAAGAGGAATTATAGATTTAAAAAGGGATTATACACTTAAAGAGGATTATAGACTTAAATAGGTATTATAGATTTAAAGAGGGATTATAGACTTGAAGATAATCAGTGAAGTGTTTGTTTGTTTCTAATGGTTTAAAGTATGTCACTTTATTTATAACAACTTTACCTTTATCAGAAACCAAGATCCAGATAAGAGTAATACCCCGTTACTGCAAGACCAACTTCAGAGCCCAGACAGAGACTCGGCCGAAGACTGGGGATGCAAGAGCAGTCCAGATAACAGGTGAACGGTAGCTTTAGTTTCTCATTTAAAACTAAGCACGAGACTTGGGAAGTAAGAAAATAACATTTGTTATATGTTTATTTTATATAACTTTGAACTAATCAGATAAACCTGTAAAATTTGTATCTGTGTATCTAATTTAATGGTACTTCTGTTTTTTCAAGACAGACTTTACGTGAAAAAAGAATGAAAGATAGGTGTTCAATTGTATAAAAGCTTTGTTGTCTAACACTCTTCATATGGACGCAGACATGTCTAATATCATTATTGTTGTACTGTTGATACTTTATATTCCCAGCCAATGTCAGATGAAGGAGGTAGTTGTATGGTGTATTTAAACAGTATATTATAACTTAAGTTATATATGTTGGAGTGATATCTTCCTGTGTATAAAATACAGTGTATTTAAACAGTATAACTTAAGCTGTATATTATTTTAGATAAGCAGCTTCGAAGCTGTATGTGAGAAACTTTAACAGAACTCCCAATAAATGATATATATATAAAAAAATGAATATTGTTAAGTAAAGTAGTTATGTTAAACAAATGGAACACTTGTCTCAAATATATAATGCTTGTTTTTTCTTCCCAAAAGTTCACTTACCAAGGGTGGCAAGTCTGCTGTTAATAATGTGTGGGGAACCCCTTCCAGGAATTTCAAGAAGAAACCAAGTTCTTCTTCTCCACAAAAACCGAAGACACGGGATGGAAGATCACCGTTGCTTTCTCGTGCTAAGAAGGGCAAGGAAGGAGAACAGCTGCTAATAGACTTTGGAGATGATAGTGGAGGAGGAAGGAATGACTCGGAAGAGGCTACTTGGGATAACTTTGATGTTAAGAAAGGCTACCAGAAGGTGGCAAGCACAAAATAGTATTAGATATGTTTCCTAGAGCTTTTTAGATGGTTAACATAAATAGAAATTGGTGAAATAAGTCGAAACTTTAAGCTTGTTATTTTGTTTACCAGAAGATATGTGACGATGGACAGATCTATATATTGGTTTGTTTAGCTCAACACTTGAGAGCAAAATGTTCATATTAACTACCACTCTCTTAATGATACCATGATTTACTGTTTAAAAAAAATGGTTTATGTATATTCATGTTGGTTTATTCATTACATGACTAACTTCTCCAGCTCTGGGAAAAAAATAATCTATTCATCAAACCTACATTGATTCACAGATAGTAGAAGTTATACTGTACGGAACATCAAATTGGTTGATGTGTTTTAACCTTAAGAAAAAAAAAGGTCATAAAAGCTTATTGTTCTATTAACATTTTAAGGAATAATCAAAACCAAGTTTGACGAGCCACTCATTGGTTTATTTCTCGTAGAAATTCAAGAATATTTTAAGTTTTTATCTGGAATGTAACGTACTTCAAAGTGGACCTCATTCTCCTGAAGTTAGATTCACTACGATGAAAAGTAATTCACTTGAATAATTACTGTAGTTCATAAACAAGTAGTCTCGTTGTACTGTAAGTTATTACTAAGTTGTTCTAAACGTTAAACACCTCGAGACCTTCTAATTGAGGTTGATGTGTTTATTAACCATACTATATATATAGCAGGGAAGGGTTTTCCGGATATCCAAAATATTTGGTGTATTACAGGAACTTAATACAATACATGAAAACGTTTTGTTTTGTTTGTAAATGTGGTCCAGTGATTTCAACATATTTGTTATGCTATAAGAAACTTAAGATCTAGGCATTGTCAGCTTGAAATTTTTGTAAAACAATTGAATGTTGAAGTACACTGGAAAATTGTTTTGGAATTTTTGTTAGCAGTTAAAAAAAAAAAGGTTTTGATCTATCTGGAGCTAATTCTCATTCCTACTTGAGGACTCATAATTACAATGCCTTTTTTTTTAGTATAATAGCTATTAAAAGTAGTCTGCTAAAGAGAACAGTTCAGCTGAAAAGTTCACGTGTTCTAATCTTGGATACTGTAATACAGGACACACTGGTGCTTTCTATCATTGCTTGTTGTTTTTTTTGAAACCCATTAGCCCTTTTAACTTCTTTTATTGGGTATAACAAGAGCTTAGTTAAACATTTCTCGAAGTATCCGACACGTTTTGAACTTGATGTACATAATACTTGTATGTTAATTTACCTTCAGTCTTCTCCATATTCTCTTGGAGTCAACACTGTTAGGACTTATTGGTACAAGCACTCTCTTTCATTTTCATCGCTTCCATAGCTTGAGAGTATAATAATAATGTTTTGTTTGCAAAGTTAAGATAATGATCACATAAAACTTTATTGTAATGTTTGGGACTGTGATATATTGGATGTGATATTTATTTTAGCTTCTCTGCACAGCCTATTGGATATGTTTCCGTAAAATTTAAATATTAATAATATACATAAGTCTATAAATAAATGATTGTAATAAAAGGCTGTTTTAAAATAGTTGTGTAAAGCTGAAGAAATAAATGGTTATCTTTATGTACAGTTTAAAATTTATATGAACTACGGAAGGTGTACAGAATTTTTTTTTTAACTGTGTATATCTTTTATACATTCCTCCTGGAGATTAAAACTAAACATTTGTCGATCTAACCCTGCATAAAGAACCTATCTAGCAGGACTTTACCAATTTGTTAGTGTTGAGTGGTGCCAGTTGCTGTTTATTAAACTTTGATGGGTTTTTTTCCCCTTTAACCAGCAAAATATATGGGTTAATAGGACAGTTACTGAACCAAAAAAATTGATGTTTCAATTTGATTCCATTTATTTATTGTTTCTGTAACCAGTAAAGTATCTATAAAATAGCAGTGTATGAGACTTTTGTTTTATATTTTTTTTGTAATAAGACTAAGTCCAAATAAGAATTGTTTTCAAAACCAAGTTGTTTCACTGTTAAACATAAATCCTGTATTTATCAGTGTTTAGAGCTGCAGTTAGAAATAAATATTGGTTCCTTGGATATAATGTGAATGTCTTGTTTTTCAAGGTTTATAATTCTCGCTACGTTATTGTCCGAGTAATTTAGAAGTTTGTAACAGGTAAGCATTTTCTTTGTAATATCTAACAAAGAAAATAAAGCCATCAGAATGTTATTAACTCACATTTGTATTACTATCTTGCATGCAAGATAAGAACTTGGCTGGTAAAATCATATTCAGTCATAAAGTTTTGGAGGAGAATAATTCAAAATATAAATACTTTCAACATATAGGTTTGGGTATCGAGCTTTTTTCCTTTTACCTAAAATTTCTTACAATGAACATCCCACACAACTACGATATTTCTCATTAATAAAAGTCCAACCATAATTTTATATCCCATGTGTACATGACCCATCTAAAAAATTTTTCCTGCCAATATTTAAGATAAAATAGAATTATTTTTCTATTTGAAGGCTAGATGTGACCTAGTGCCTTAGCATGCAAAGGTTTGAATTTGCTGTACTGTCAAACAAACTCTGCACTTTTGGCCTTGAATGTATTACAATTGTACAGTTAATCACACTATTTGTTTAATAGTAATTTTGTAGGAAATTAGTACTGATGACTGGTTATCCTTCCCCCTGGTCAACAGTAATGGCTACTCTTGAATTTCATGAAAATATCAGTACTTTCTTGTTGGATTTAATTTCAATCTAGCCATTTTCCAGATCTTATGGTGACTTGTTTAAAATAACTAGCAAAAAAAAAGGTTTTACTGGAGGAAGTGCAGATGTTCAAAGAACTGATATTAGTGATTTTTTCTATTTCCTTAAAGTCAGTTGACTTGGTTTTACAACTTAACTAAAAGAGTATTTGGCATACGATGGTCATTAGGTTCGCAACCTGTAGCTGAACATGCTTGCCATGTTGACTGGCTGCCTTTTCTCTAGCCTATTACTTCAAAGTTAGTGCAGCTAGCCTTCTTTCTACCACTCGTGTGTTAGCATTTGTAAATTTAAATCTCAAGTCTTATCACACCATATATACAAAAATGCTATTGTCGGGGAAAAATGTCCAGTATTCACAAATTGTGTATATGGGTACAAATTACTTTAAAGAAATACATTACACACAGAGCTTTATACAAATATTAAAAAGAAACAGCTGTTGATAATCAATAGTTATTTGGTTCTGGGCTAACCTCTGGATGACCCCTTACAATGCAGTAACTGCAAACATCTTCAGAAAAGCTCTGTCCACTTTAAATAAATATTTGTCCTTACACAAAACATAACGCAAAGTTGAAATGAGCAACAACTGTCGATTTCAGAGTGATGCTTGAGGACTAATCCACAGAATTAGCTCTGGTGACTTCCATTTCAAGGTTAAATTGTACTAAGTTGTAGAGGGGTTTATTTGGGGGACTGTAGTGGACACAAATGATGAATTGACCAGTTCTAGCCACAGACCGTTGATTTCCAAGCCTGGGTTTCTGTTTAGCGAGATAGTTTCTTCCGGTTGATGTAGTAATATTCTACTAAACAGAATTTTGTTTTCATCAGACACACACAAAATAAATTTGGAAATATCATTTGGCCAAATGTTTGTTTTTAATTATGCACAAAGCTACACAAGGGCTATCTGTGCTCTGCCCACCACGGGTATCGAAACCCGGTTTCTAGCGTTGTAAGTCCGCAGACATACCGCTGTGTCACTGGGGGGCACTGGCCAAATGAGTATGAACATAATTGTTTTTCTATGTGACAAATGTTTTTTAATTTCAGACAAAAACTTCGTGACTGTTCAGCTCTTGAAAATAATTGTACAGTTTATTACTAATATACTTACACTCAAAGCTTTGATATAGCAACAAGAAAACAACTGTTCTATTATAGGTCGTCTGCACAGTACCGAGACAGACTAATTACAGAAACTAAAAATATTTACAATGTTTACATGTGACAAACAACAAGGTAGTTCACATCAGTCCATAATTCTTGCAGCAAGGTAAAATCTTTGGATGACTTATTAGCTTCTCTAATATTTGCAAAAGAAAAAAAAAAGCACTTTTAATTTTACTGGCAAGTTTTGTTACAGGAAAAACTGGGGAAGGAAAGAAAAAACAGGTGAAAAAAAATATGTATATTAACTATTGGGTTTTGTTGCTGAAATTACACCATAATGGTGCTATTTTCAACAAGTCGGAGAATTGTAGAATCCTTTATTGAGAATACAGGAAAAATTTGTGACTTTTTGAAAGAAAATTACCCCCTGTACATATTAATTCAAACTTTAATACATTATACACTCAGAAGAATATTTACAGCAAGACTATCTGCTGTTGGTCAGTGGAGAAGAAGGATGTTTAGAAAAAAAAAGGTCAACTAATAATCAACTTTCACAAAGCTGTAAAAATTAAATCTTTCACCAATAGTTTTATTAACTGCTAGGACCAATAAACATTTTTCTCGGGAGATTAATTACTTACATAAAGTATAATTTTCTCATAACAAAAACATGCTTATGTGCAGGAATATGACAGTAAATTTGAACTACTTTGTGTGTTATTTGTCACAACAATTTACAAGAAAATCACCTTATTCATCTTACAGTTTAAAAACCATCATAAAGAGGGAAGAATAAAATACAAAACAAATCACACTAGTATTGGTTCGTTGAATTCATTCTATACAATGACCATGGGAACTTGTTGTACAGTGTCACTTCACATATTTCTCAGAGACAGTTTTAGAAACAAAGAAGTTATAGAGCTAAATAAGCTACTTGTATCCTCAGCTACAAAAAAAGCAGCCATACTAAATAAACTAAAACAAGCTTTTTTCATAAAAAGTATAAAAGTTTCATGGCAATACTAATTAACATTTTTTACAGCAATGAAATCAAAAGAGAAACCATATTTAACCTCTACAACATTAGAGAGGTTCCTCCCTCCGTCACATATAGTAACCATTTCAAGTCCTACTAAAAATGTTGTATTTTTTTAAAAAAGCAATAGAGATAAAACTAGTTTTCTAGATATCAAAATAAGTTTACTAAAAGTAAACTAATGACACAAAACTTGACAGAATAACTATTAATAACAATGTGTTCTAGGCACATAACTCCCACACCTACACACAAGAACTGATTGTCAACACTCCTCGTTTGAAGATGGAGAATTTTTATCTCCTCAACAGGTAGGAAAGTGCACTACAAACCTTGCAGTTTCCAGGATTAATAAAAACCCATTTTTCAGTACCTATGCTTATCTTACTGATATGTAAAAAAATGTCATTTTTAGCAGTAGCATAGTGGCTCCGAGTTTTTCAAGTACAAACTTTTAGCTCATAATACGTCACCTCGTTGACCAATTAAGAGATTTGGAATCGGGAGGTTAAACCCTTTTTCGACTGACGCATTCATTACTCTAACCCTGCCTAAAAGAATTTCAAGTAAACGTGACTACTGAGAATTTCCTTGGTTTTTTTATCTTGGATACAGTTTCTCTCTTAAAACATCTTTCCCTAAAGCTGATGGACAAAAAAAATCAGTGAATTACTTAAGTAGTGTTGTTGTAAAAAACAAAATTAAGTTTAACAATTAGACAAAAAACAAGGTTTTTCTACTAAAACGGGGAACAGATAAGGAATCACCAACGGCTCATGACAACACAAAGATTACACGTTTCATTATTATTATTATTATTGCTGGTAAATTTATTCCTTGAAATAGGTATTTATTTACAAATTTATCAGGACATATTACACAGTTTGTAGATGGTAGAAAGAACGGTGCATATCGTTTTCAGGCAGCTTTCCTACAAGGTACGTTGGTTTCAACAACTTTTGGTTAATGAAAACATGCTAGAAAGCTTGATCTTTATACTATTTCAAAACAGGGTGGATAAGCAATTACAGAGAGAGATATAAGAAGCCAAGAAGTGGATTACGTAAAACAAGATATACAAGGCTTGATTTTATGTCGGTTCCAGCACGTTATCAATAACCAAGTTTTGGAGTAAGAAGGTTAAAAAAACATATGCACTGGTAAAAAATTTAAGGAACTTTTTTTGTGTCAAAGTTATATTAAAAACACTTGACAAACTAATAATACATTTTATTACTGGACTTGAATGATAAATCTTCAGAATTGTTTTTCAAAAAGATAAATTCTCCTCTAAGAGATATACATAAAACTTTTTTTTTATTTGTTTGTATTATTATTATTATTATTATTATACAACTTGTGATATTTATATAAAATATGTAAACACGTCAATTAACAAGATAAAGTTCCATAAAAACTTGCGTGTCACATCAAAAACGTGCTCCTAAACTTTCCCAAACCACGACCCATCCGAGCGGCCAGGCAATTTTCTAAAACCCAAGTTCAACTGAAGGAGGGACGAACTGCTATCCTAACATATTTCATTGAAGTCTCGTAGTGCTATTATATTTGTTTTGATTGTTTAAAAACATTTTGAGACTATTATTCTATAAATAATTATAAAATAAAAATATATATATATACGTCTTACTGCATCTTGTTCTGCAACCCATCCCGATACCTTTCGCAGCCCACCAGTGGGTCTTGACCCACAGTTTGGGAACTGCTGGCTCAATTTAGTCTACTACTATTCTTAGGAAAAGGCCTGCCTTTTCAATACTGATGCCAAAAATATTCTTATTAAATTCAAGTATATATAAAAAAAAGGCACAACTTTATACGAAAATGATAACTCCAGTTTTTTGACTCGATGTATTTTTTCTCTAAAAATATCACTATTAATATTATTTATCTATCTATCAATATTCATTTTCAACAAGTGTCAGTTGATGAAGACACCAGAGGTGGTAAATTAAACGGAAGATGTCAATATACAGAACCGTCCTATTTACAGTATTGCATAACTATCAAAACAAAAACAAAACCACAGTTACAAACATCAAGTTCCCACTATAGCAATATAAAAAAAAGAAAATTTAAGAATGTCCTGATATATATATATAATCCCACCAAATTAGTTCATAATCCTAAATGTACCAGAATGGGGATCACCAACCGGCACCTCAGTGGTACGTTTAACACAACCGTGAAGATTCCATTCCATCAGATGTTCTCTTCGTGGATGGATTATGTCAGCAACAACATTTAACTGTAAAAACATGAAA